TTTGGGAATATCTATACCCATATCCCATTACATCCTTTTATTCGTGCTCGTAGTACTTGAAAATATCTTGTTCTTTTCACTCGTCAGTCTGGAAAACAAAAATTCCTACATTTTGCAGTTTCTTGAAGCCAAAGTTGGCCATGCAAAGGCAATTGCCACTCAAGAAGACACAAAAGCATCCTGCACGGTTTCAAAATCAGAAAAGGACCAAGACACAGTGAAAGATGCTGATATAAGGACAAGTGAACTGATGAGAGCCAATGACATCTTGACACTTGAGGTTGAAGAGCTCAAGAAAAAGGAATTTTTGTTGCTGGCCTCTTTAGCTGCTTTAGCAAATGAATTGCAAGCTGAAAAACGACTCTCTTATAGAAGCTGTTGCAAAAGGCGAAGAACTCAAATCTCAGACGCAGGCCAAGAAAAGCACAATATCTGCTTTGAAGTTGGATGTTGGAAAAATATGTGAGAATGTGAGATTGCTCAAAGAGTGAAAATCTTGAGTTGAGAGCCATCATAGAAGATGGCTCAAAAGCTAGAAAGTCCATGGAATAGGAGTTGATGAAGAGAGTGAGAGCCAGGAACCTGTTGTGGAAATTTGCTCTTGATAAAATATACAACATAGTTGAGTCCATAAAAAAACTAATAGAAAGATGTTATCATTGAAAGGGATGACATGCTTACAAAAACCTGAAAATTTTCTTTTAGTCCTGAAGATGAAGAACATTACAATCAAGGTACATTTTTCTCTAAATGTCTGAATCATTTCATGTAATGTGTGGTTTAAAATATTGACGCCTGAAAAAGTCTTTTGAACTAAACACAACATATGTGAATCCCAATTTCAAATGCTGAACGTGACTTAATATTCAGGAACCAACAAGAAACTTTAGATAAAGAAACGAACAATGAGCAACTAAATTCAGCAAAATGGCAACATCATCTAGACGTCTGTAGTGCAAGTTCAAAGAAGCAATGCAGTAAATAATAGAAACATATGCTTTGGCAACATCTAAAACACAGCTAAAGTAATTCTGCAAGATTAGCAGACAAATGGATATAGTCATCCTTTGATTCACAATTTGAACATAAAAGTAAGGCCAAACTATGCAACCAGCACCAAAACCGTCTATCAAAGACAACATCTGGTAAAAAAAAGATTCTGGAATGAAACAAAACCACATTAAATATGATTAACAAAGACACCAAATCCACATTTTGTGGACAGAAACATGGCAAGGAAGAATCCCAATAAAGCCAAGTGCCAGAGCCATCAGATCCTTGATCAATATTGGATCACATTTACCAGTCTACTTTATCCTTCTGTGGGTTCTAAGATGGAACATGTTAAAAGATTAAAAAAAAAATCCAATCTCTTAAATGTACAATCTGTCAAGTGGTAACCATCACAAATCAAACAAAAAATGCATATAATTCTCCATAAATAGGCTAACACGTGAGAAAAAAGACTTGATTTCGGAAAAAAAAAAATTCAACAGCAGACAAATGCTCAGACCAAGGCATACAACTATTAGCCACCAAAATCAACAAAAATGGGAAAGGTACTAAAATCAAATCTGAAGCGTGTAACTGACTAATCTGTTTTTAATTATGATTCAAATGATGAAATTAGAACAAAAAAGAAGTTAATAGGCAAAGCATATTATGAATAGGTGAGAATTAAAGTCCTTTCAGTTTTATCTTCAAGTATGTTTTTGGTGCAGTAAATTTTACTATCTATGCCATGCTTGAATTTACAAATTTTACTTGATAAAGATTTTTATTTCAAAAGTTTCTTATGTCACAAAATTAACTGAATTGAGTATCAATATAAATTAGTACTCATATAATAAGCCTACATTATTGAACAGTAAGTTAATATGATAACGATGCGAACAGAGTTTCAGATTTTCTTCTGTATCACCTGAACTACGCAATCAAAAATAAACCCTTCCACCGTCAGGACTGAACAAAATTTCTATGCCAACATATCAGCAAAGGCTGACATCTTAGTCAAGCTTGTAGTGCTTCTTAACCCCATCCAAACAATCCCTGATCAAATCCAACCTCTCCATGTAAAGATGAGCTGCTTGTATCTCCACTTCCGCCAATTGCTCCACCAAATCTTGCTCCCCCAAGGTTTTCATTGCCTCGGAACCATCATGCCCTCTAGGAATTTCACTAGAAGAGGGACCTTGTGCTTTCTCACTTTTGTGATTATCTCTAGCATGTTCACTGTCAAGTTCTTGAAAGCTCACTCTTTTAGGCGGTCTATTGCCCCCACTAGCTCTTGAAACCACACTTTTTGAAAAACTCGACTTTTTAACTGTGCCCTCTGAAATTCTTAAATCAGTTTGAGTATTTCCACTTTCTGAGGGTTCCTTTCCTTTTGCAAGGATGGAGTTTGCAAGAATTTTCTCTGTCATAGAATCAGCTTCGTAGCAACTAGGAGAAACAGAGCCCTTTGCTTTGCTATGAGCAACTAAGGGTACCTTTACTTTTGCAATGGACTTGGAAAGACTTCGCATGTTTGCAGAGTCAGCTCCATCATGACAATGAGATACGGAGCCCTTTGCTTTGCTTTGAGCTACGAAAGGTCCCTTTCCTGTTGTAGTGATGAAGTTTGAGCAATTAAAGTTCCCTTTCCCTCTCTTTTTGGCTTGGTCTTCTGCTTCATTTGCTTCTGAATCGAGGTGCTTTTGATCTGGACTGTATTCAGTAGCACCATCAGATTCTGACTGCGGATGATTGGCATCTGTGTCTCCTGAGGTTGAGTTTTCTACTTCAAGTCCAAGATACTCATCTTCTTCATCTATAGGGGTATCGATCCAAGGCAGAAACAACTTCTTAGGCAATGGCTTGCTGAAATTTGTGCCATCATAAGGTTGTGATTCATGCAGTTGGGATTCTTCATTTTCGTCTGCACTTTTTCTTGAGCGTTTAATCCCCATTTATCTGATAAATGTGTAGTACACAAAGCATTTGAGTTTCAGTACACAAAGCATTCAACTTTTATATTAACGGTTGAGAGAGGCATACATATGTAACTCACTAATGGCATAGTTGATGGCTGTTCGCTTTCTCTCATTATTATTTGTGTGTTGGCATTTGAAAGGATGTAGAATATGCTTTCTTGGGGCTTGGCATAGACCATTTTCCAATGCAGTTTATAATTGAGAAACTTTTGGTAACTAGTAAAACCTCATGTGCTTTGCATGTGATTTTATCATTCCAAAGTGTAGTAAGTTAGATACTAGAGTTTTTTTTATATAATTTTGATTGTCACCTTTAAACTATAATATTCGTCTATTTTTCGTTTTCGTTATCCAATTCTTTGAATTCATTGCGTCATGGCATGACATTTTTCTGAATTGGCCCTTTATTTTACCCTTCAACTAATTTGTATTTTTAACCTTGACAAACAAATATTGACAATATCATATTTTACCAAAATTATTGTTCAAAAAAAAATATCATGTTTAACCAGTTGTTTATATACAAAATAATGTTGTTCAGCCTGAACAATGAATTTAGATGGCATGTGAACAATAGATGGAATTTAAAAGTATTAGTAACTTAAAAAGGTTAAAATGTAATATCAATTTATAGAAGGTCAATGTAATATCAATTTATAGAAGGTCATTATAGTTAATAAGTTAGTTTAATTATATTAAATAAGTTAGTCTCTAGAAGGTTAAGTTAGTTTATATTAGTTTATCTCTGGATGGGTAGGATGGGTTGAATTGTTCAAGGGAAGCAAGTGTAAATGAGAAATTTCGAGTTTGAGTAATCCCACTTATATTAAAAAACATTAAATAATTCTAATTCAACTATCCGATCATATATATATATATATATATATATATATATCAATATTTTGAACAATATTCCAATATCAATACCTTTGCCTACGTGTATTTTATATTTTGTTGGGGATGCTGTTGTAACGGGTTGACTAAGATACAGACTTTGACATAAGTATCAACACTTGAAACAATATGCACAATGTGAATACCTTTGCTTTCCATTTTTTGGCTAAGTTAAATAAATAGTTATAGTGGAGACTGTAGCATTAGAATGGGTTGATCAATTAATTTATATATAAAGGACCGTAATACTAGAATGGGCTGATCACTTGGATGGTGTTACGAGGTGTTTACTTTCCCTAGCAAACCACACACGTAATAGCACTGGTAAGCCACACTACCAGTCAGCCTACAAACTCACTTGCACACAAGTATTCAAATGTAGAACACTTAGGCAAAATAAGAGGAACACACGCACAAGTTACAGCCAACACGGCCAACCTTGTATTTCACAACAATGATTACAAGGAATTTCTACAAACACCTGGCGTGCAGAACATCTAAGAGTGATTCTCACTATTTGAAACTCTCCCCTCTTTAGTCTCTGCCTAACCCATTATTTATAGGCATGTTACAGTTGACAATAGACCCAACCGCTGGTCTTATCTGAACGTCCACGAAGTTAGGAACCCGCTAAGAACGAGGTTGAGTTGGCTGGTAACCGCCAGCAACTGCCCAACGATCATCTTTGGCGCCCACAGGCAACGGCTGCACAATTCCGCGCGCCCCGTTTCCCACCATCGGCAACGTTCCGTGCCCAACTTGCCCCAACACTTAGCAATCTTAGGCACCGTGGTTCCTAATCTTTGGAACCACCCGAAACAACCCACCGATCCATAGTCATTCCGTGGCCATGGCCCCTAACCCTTGGCCTTGACTTGGCTTAGTCACAGTTATTCCTCTGTATATATGTCTTAAGGGAAAACTTACAACCGTTAGTAGATGCACACTTTTTTTCCCAACTAATTTAGAGACATCTGATGCCTCTAAAACTTTCCCCAACCTATACTTAGGTTAGTAAAATATCATCAAATACTGATCCACTCGTTTCCAACAAGCTTCACCTTCGGCCTTCCCACCTAGGCCATGGCTGGCCGAACTTGGCCACGCCTGCGTGCGTTCCGTCTGGACCGCACCCTAAGGGGCTAACAAACCACCCCCACCTGAAGAGGTTGATGCCCTTGTCAACTTGGCTTGCTTCAGCACGTTCCTCAGGTACTCAGCAATTTTGTTCTCGAACTGCCACAAGGTCACGTCTGGCTCCCAAGTAGCGTCCAGCTCGGTCTCCCCCTTCCACTGGACTAGATAATCTGTCCATCTATTTTTTTTGCTCTGCCCCATGGTTCTGTGATCTAGCACTGCCTCCACATCTTTCTGGAATTGCTTGCGGATCACCGGCGAAGCACGTTTTGCTTGCTTCCATCCTTTATCCATCTCATCCTGGTTGAAGGGTTTTAGGAAACTCACATTGAAGGTCGGGTGGATCTTGAGTCTGTCGGGCAACTTCAACTGATAGGCTACACGACCCACCTTCTTGATCACTTTGAACGGTCCATCGTACTTTGGAATAAGCCCACGATGGACTGTCTTGCTGCTTACTTTCTTTCAAATCTGGGGAGTCATTTTCAGCATCACTTGATCTCCCACCTGGAACTCCAAGTCTCATCTACGTTGGTCTACATACTTCTTCATACGTTGTTGCGCCACTAGCAAGCTCTCCCTCGCTTCGTCCACCAATTGGTGCTTAGCACGAGCAAATCGGTGCGCTGCTGGGCAACGACTCCCACCCTGAAGTGCAACTTCATGCGGAGTCAGAGGTTGTTATCCATTCACCAACTCAAACGGACTCAGTTTCGTTGCGGATGACTTGTGCACATTGTAGCAAAACTGCGCGGCATCCAGCAACTCCACCCAATTCTTTTGACTGGCCGTCACGTAATGCCTTAGATATTCCTCCAGCAAGGCATTGATCCTCTCCGTTTGTCCATCGGTCTGAGAATGTGCGGTAGTAGAGAACTTAAGTTCGAAACCCAACAATCCGAACAACACGGTCCACAATCTCCCCGTGAATCTGGTATCCCTATCACTTATGATGTCTTCAGGTAAACCGAAGTACTTCACAACATTTCTAAAAAACAACTTAGCGGCAACATCAGTTGGGCACGCCTTTGGCGCACCGATAAAGATAGCATATTTAGAAAATTTATCAACAATTACAAAAATAGAAGCCATACCATCAACTTTAGGAAATCCCGAAATGAAGTTCATTGAGACCGATTGCCATGGTCGATCAGGAATCAGCAAAGGCTGCAACAAGCCTGGCTCCTTTTTCCTTTCCACCTTGTCTTGTTGGTACACAAGACACGTTCTCACGTATGCTTCAATATCCTCTTCAATCTTTGGCTAGTAGAAGCTCCGCGACAGCAAGGCCCGCATTCGTTCCACTCCGGGATGACCAGCCCAAGGAGTGTCATGAGTCTCTCGCAGCAACTGTCACCTAAGTCCCCCTCCTGCTGGGGCATAAGCTCTACTACCCTTGGCAAAGAGTAAGTCGTCTTCAAGCCAGTAATGACGAACTTTGCCCTCACGGACTTGGGTCATTTGAACTTGTCGATATCCCGATCGCAAGTCAATTTTGGTGTAGAATTGTGCCCTCGCCAGACTATCGAACAAGGCACGATAATCCACATAAAATCTCAATGTTCCGTTTGCTTTCTTCCGGAACAATGCTGGAGCACCGTACGGAGCTTTCGACGGTCTCAGCGCTTGGCTATCTAACAGCTCATTCAGTTGGCACCGCAACTCCGCCAACTCCATCGGGGACATGCGATAAGGAGCCTGGGCAAGAGGTTGGGCCCCTGGCACCAACTCGATTCTATGCTCCACAACGCATCTAGGAGGCAGCTGCCTCGCCAACTCTGCAGGCATGAGGTTTGCGAATTCCTCCAACACATCAGCCACGGCGTCGGGCACTTCCTGGTACATGTCGGGATTTATTTCCACCAACGCAGCAATGTACACCACTTCGCCGCGCCTAAGGCTGGACTCAATTTGTACCGCCGACACCATGTTCTTTCGTTGGTTGCTTTTTTGTTTTGGCAACCTTACTGCAGCAACAAAGCCTGGATTTTGGTCGTCATCCACCATGACGCCGTCCAAGTGCGGAATTGGGTAGATCCTGTTGGCAACCATGAAGTTCTTGCCTAGGATCAAGTCAGAGTCGTCCATTTGACTGGCCATGAGGCTGCACCATCCCTTCCACGGCCCCAACTCCAATTCTACCGTTGCTACGCCCAACACTGGCTTGGCTTCAGAGTTGACAACCTTCAACTTGAAGCCCAAGTCCTTCAACTTCAATCGGAACCGACTAACCACATTTTTCGTCACACAACTGTGTGATGCTCCCATATCCACCATCTCCAGTATCTGATTACCATTCAACATAATCTGCATATACATCAAACCATTGTAAGTAGTGCAACCATTAGTACCTGTGATGGCGTTCACGAACTACATGGGGTGGACTCGTGCATCCTGCATCTCGAACTGGCCACCATCATCTTCTGTTATCAAGGCACTAACATTCTGATCCTTCTTTTTGTTAGGACAATTGCGGGCTAAGTATGGTCCTCCACAGTTAAAGTAGCCATCCTTCTTCGGATTTGGTGCTTGCTTTTCCTTAGAAGAAGAAGCACCGTCGGTTTCGATCGAAGACACCAACTGCTTCCTTTTCTTCTTCTTTGCGAACGGTCCACCTTTCAAGTCCTTGCCCTTCTCCTTCTTCTTGTCGTTGGACCCCATGGACTTGAAGTCTATCAACTTCTCTGCGGCAGCGAGTGCTTGAGACACGGTTTGAACATTCTGTCTCCGCAACTCTATCTGCGTCTACGGCTGCAGTCCACAGATGAAGGTGTAGCGTCTGTCTTCCTCAGACATCTTCTTCACATCCAACATCAGGGCCTGGAACTCAGCAATGTACTCGTGTACGCTCTTACTCTGCTTCAAGTTCCACAATGCGTCCCGAACTTTCCATGAAACATTCGTGGGAAGGAATTGCTTCTACAATTCCTCCTTCAACACATCCCAAGTCTCAATCTTGGGTCTGGTGGAGTCTGATTGCACCGTTCTCCACCACAGCTTTGCATCACCACTAAGGTACATTGATGCAATGGATATCTTCTCCCCTTCTGGAACGTCAACAGCCTTAAAGTACTGTTCGACATCCCACAAGAAAATTTTCAGATCCTTCGAACTCCTACTCCCCTGGTACGGTTTCGGCTTTCGGACTTTCACTTTCCCCTTCGAAGATTTTTGGACGGTCTGTGTGTTAGAAGAGCCAACCGCCTTCTTCAACACACCGATCTCGGACTGTAAAGCCACGATCTCTGCATGGAACGAAGCCACTTCATTCCTCAGCGCCACAACGTCCCCAACGGAAGAGACTGTCTGCCTGGTTTCCTCTATCTACGCTATTAGGGTGTTGATCGTCTCTCGGGTTTGCAATAGAACTTTCATGACGTTGAAGCCCTCTGGAACGTCTCCCAGACGCTGCATCAAGTCCTCGAAGGCAAGTTCCTGACGTTGCAACCACTCTGGGACAGTATTTCCGTGTCCAACCATCATTACCTACAAAAGAGACACAACAAAAGCACGGTCTAATAGATCAGAGCCGTGCTCTGATACCACGCTGTTACGAGGTGTGTACTTCCCCTAGCAAACCACACACGTAATGGCACTGGTAAGCCATGCTACCAGTCAGCCTACGAACTCACTTGCACACAAGTATTCAAACGTAGAACACTTAGGCAAAATAAGAGGAACACACGCACAAGTTACAACCAACACAGCCAACCTTGTATTTCACAACAACAATTACAAGGAATTTCTACAAACACCTGGCGTGCAGAACATCTAAGAGTGATTCTCACTATCCGAGACTTTCCCCCTTTTAGTCTCTGTCTAGCCCATTATTTATAGGCATGTTACGGTTGACAAGAGACTCAACCGCTGGTCTTATCTGAACGTCCACGAAGTTAGGAACCCGCTAAGAATGAGGTTGCGTTGGCTGGTAACCGCCAGCAACTCCCAACAACTATCAGCAACTGCCCAATGGCGTGCACAGGCAACGGCTGCACAATTCCACGCGCCCCGTTTCCCGCCATCGGCAACGTTCTGTGCCTAGCTTGCCCCAACACTTAGCAATCTTAGGCACCGTGGTTCCTAGCCCTTGAAACCACCCAAAACAACCCACCGAGCCATAGTCATTCCGTGGCCTTGGCCCCTATTCCTTGGCCTTGACTTGGCTTAATCACAGTTATCCCTCTATATATATGTCTTAAGGGAAAACTTACAACCATTAGTAGAGGCACCCTTTTTTCCCCAACTAACTTAAAGACATCTGATGCCTCTAAAACTTTCCCCAACCCATACTTAGATTAGGAAAACATCATCAAACACTGATCCACTCGTTTCCAACAAGCTTCACCTTCGGCCTTCCCACCTAGGCCATAGCTGGCCGAACTTGGCCACAGCCGCGCGCGTTCCGTCTGGACCACGCCCTAAAGGGCTAACAGATGGCCTAAACTCTCATAGCATAACTTAAATCTTGTATAAATGTTTGCATGTTCTACTATTGTTATATTCATTTAATGTGAATAGAATTTGCTATTGATTTAATGAACTGGTTGAATATGAAATCAAATTTATATTTCTTAATTTGAATAGACGTAAATTCTTTGCATATGACTCTTTGTATTTTTTTTTAAATAATAGAATGTAAATGATCAACAACATTTAGTTGTTTCTTTCTTTCGTGTTCATTTTCATACAATTGAAATTTTCTTAGGAGAGATAGTTGCACATTCCTTTGTTCTTTTTTATTTAAATTTTATTTTTTTAGCAGGCTCTATTAGAAGGCACAAGCAAGGACTCCTATATCCTAATAGTACTTTTATTTTGTTTTCAGTATAGATATATATACAAAGTAAAATTTCTAATGGACAGGAAGAAGAGTTTCATATTTAGGTATTTTATCTCAGTAATCATCATTACTTATTATAGTTTAAATTTAACGTTTCATTTTTTTAACTATTATCACAACTAAAATACAATAAATATAATTGTTGGACTAATAAACATCATTTTCTGTCATAATTTAGATTTAATCTTAATTTTTATAATTGCCACCACAATTGAAGTACAATGAATATGATTTTAGATTTTTTTTTTAGTGTAAGCAGGAGGACTCAAACCCGAAACTTTTTACTTACACTCCCTCCCCCCATGGCACCCAACCCAACCCTCCCCCCTGAATATGATTTTAGATGAAAGGTAGTTTATGTACAATGAAAACGAAGACCATCTTTTGCTTATACTCTAAAGTACCAAAACTTATGGTACTTTTATGTAGTGTATATCTTGAGAGATATCCAAAGATTGAAAAAGCTATAGCAAAGTACATTTTCCAAAACAATTTTAAATAATCGAGAAAAATTAAATTATATACTCCACAATTCAGTTTTCATCAACTAATGAATCAAGCCAAATTTTGGAATTCGAGATCCATTCCAATTCATAATCTTGCTTAGTTAAATTTGGCCATTAGTCCATTAGTTATTTAAAATAAAATCTATGAACTAAAAAAACTATGTATCCAATAATTTGACC